ACCAGTGACAAGCTCGACGACCTCATGCAGGACCTCACTGTCTCCCAGCTCAGCGACGTGGCCGACTACCTTCCTCTTCTAGGGATTTAAATGACATGTCACCAAAAAAAGTTTGTGTGTCAACATTAATTTAAAAAAAGGGCTGCCTTAGTATGCTCCTCACATAGCTCCTCACCCTTTTACTTATCCCTTGGAGTGCACACACACACACCCCACACACACCCCTAAAATTAAAAAAAAATAAAAATAAAATAAAAAAAGAACAGAAAACCACAAACTCTGGCGAAGGTATGAAGAGCCTATCACCTCGCCCCCTGCTGGTGGGACAGGTAGAATGGTGCGACCACTGTGGAAAATGGTATGGCACATCCTTAAAAAGCCGTAAGTAGAAATACCATATGTCGGCCCGTCATCTCTCTATTTGGTACATATCCTAGGGAAACAGAACCGGGACATGAACAGATATTTGCACACCCATGTTCATCACAGCACGATACAGCAAAGAGATGGAAAGAACCCAAGAATGGATAGAATAACGATTGTGCGATGGTGAAGAATCATGATGGATCTCTGCAACACCTCATAACCCAGATGAGCCTGGAGGGCACTGCGCTGGGAGAAATGAGACCATTGCAAGAAGACAAATGTTTTCATACTAAAAGAAACATTCTTTGATGGTTAGGAGGAGGAGAAGGAAGGGTAAATTATTGGCTTGGGGGTAGATCTCGATTAGCTTAGGTAAAAGGGAGGGCAATATATAATAGAGCAGTGGTTCTCAACCTTCCTAATGCCGGGACCCTTTAATACAGCTTCTCATGTTGTGGTGACCCCATATGTGGATGTATCTGCATGTGGGCGGACCTGCCTGGAGATGGATAGAGGAGCAATGTCTCAATTCCTAAGTCCATCGGAAATATGGTCTTAGGCAATCCCTGTGAAAGGGTCGTTCGACACCCCAAAGAGGTCATGACCCCCAGGTTGAGAACAGCTATAATAGAGAAATCAGCTAAAACACAGTGGAAGCAGGAGAAGCTGTTGGAAGACTTAAAGGCAACGGAGATAAATACTGTTAGGTCCATATTCCTGCAAACACGATGATTTATGAATACATGTATGGGTAGACACACAGGCTGGACAGGTGTAGAAGGAGCTGTGGGACTATACTCATAATACATACAGGTTTGACAGAAGATATTTGTACATGGCATTTACCTTTGCTGTAAATATACTCATGAATACAGTGAAACAGACAGGGGCAAAGTTATGAAAATATCTACCCACTTGGCTGGGCCATGAGTCTCAGTATTATATAACTGTCCTCCATTTTGTAAGCTGATGTTACCCTGCTTGTTTTAAATCCTCATCTCCAGGATGTTAATGAGGCTGAATTCGAGGCAGTTTTGTTAATGAGATAGGATGAAATCTATAGGATCAGGTTAAATGTTGAGTCAGTCTCCTTATGAGATATAAAAGGGATTAAGCAATTGAGGAAGGGACCTACTATCACCACGTAATTAGATTCTGCAGTGCAGGGTGTCATTTGGACCCAGGGGAAGATTGATGTCAAGCATCTCCCCCCAGAGTCAGGGTGGCCAGAGAGAAAGCTTTCCCCTGAAGGCAGTGCTCTGAATTTGGACTTCTGGTCTCCTAAACGGTGAAAGAATAAATTTGTTTGCTAAAGTAAAAGAAGAACTTTGCCAGAAAACTTATCAGGTGATCAGGGGCACCCTAAAGCAGACTCAGTACTGCTGTGAGCCATGTGACCCAACCCTCTGTCCCACTTCATCCTGTGCTCACCAATATGATACAAGTAGTTCCTAATTGAGTCCACTATAATTATCTGGGGCTAATACTAGGGGTTTGTTGCTGTGTTTTGAATACTTTGAAATTCCGAGATTAGCAGGTACACTGCTGGAAAACTGCAGTAAGTGGGTCAGGCTTCATCAGACTTGGGGCAGAAAGCAAACACTTTTAAAGCCCCTTCCTCCCCCAAAGTGTTTTTAATTTCACTCAAATTTTAAAGGACCGCACAAACAGAAGTAAAAAATACATCTTGGACCTTCCCTTGGCTTTGAACAGCTTCTATTTAGCACTCTCTGGGTCTGCGGTGGCTATGAATCGGAATCGGCAGTGTTTCCTTTTAATTTGGGGGTACACTATGACTGAAGAAAAATGACCCACTAACTGTCCCCCTAGCTCCCTGAGCAGCTCCCGCATTACCAGCTCCTGCCTAAACCAAGCCAGTTTCCAGGCATTGTCGATTGCTTTTGCCTGAGCAGTCAGCTCCAGGACGCAGACAAGCCTGGATCGACTGCTCCTGTCTGCCCTGCCCCGAAACGCGGGAAACAGCAGTTTCAATCCAGTCTGGCTGCCGCGTCAACCAAGATAACAACCCTGACAATCTAGACTTAACTTCTTCCTCCTCTTCCACGCCGCACTCCCGAAGATCCGCAAGTCACGCAAGTGGAAACGGGAATTTCCAGACCGACACCATGTCTGAGGCTTATTTCCCGGTGGAGTCGGGTGCGCTGGGGGCTGAGGAGAACTTTCTTTCCCTGGACGACATCCTGATGTCCCAGGAAAAGCTACCGGTGCGCACGGAAACAGCCATACCTCGCCTCGGAGTTTTCTTCCCGGAGTTGAGCGGAGGCGCCGAGACTGACAACGCGATCTCTCAGGTTAGCCTTTTGGCGCGGACTCCGGCCCGGAAAGACTACAGTTCCCGGGGGGCCGTGGGAATGCCGCGTTATCCGGCGCGCGACGCGCTGCCCTCTGGGACTTGTAGTTTCGGGGCGGGGCGAGGCAAGGCCGAGCGCTCTAAATAATTCTCCCCTCGTGTATTCTGTATTCAGGCGCAGTGGGCCCTGGGCCCGATGATTGCTAGCTGGGGAATCTAAGTGTATTTAAGTCGTCCAGCTCCTTGCAGCATTGAATTTATTTTGAAAACTGTCCAAATTCAACTATGTGTCTCCCTCCCCTCCACCCCCACCCTGACATGCATGTCTGCTAAATGTGTTAACTCATGCTAAATACTTAAGGATCTGGTGTATATTCCCGTTCGACTTGAGATAAAACAGCTCTTGGTTCTGTAAGAGCATGTCTCCCGCATGTTATCAGCAACTCGATACAGACAGACAGATGATGGATGGATGGATGGATGGATGGATGGATGGATGGATGGATGGATAGATATCAGCTACTCGATACAGATAGATAGATAGATAGATAGATAGATAGATAGATAGATAGATAGATAGATAGATAGATAGATAGATAGATAGATATCAGCAACTCGATAAAGATAGATAGATTTTAAAAAACATTTTTTCCCTCAAAGCAATGTATTTAATTTTTTTTAAAAACAAAACAACCTTATCACCTTCAAATTTCTCTCCATTACACTTAATACATTTGTCAAATCTGCTATTCCATTCTTGGAAACATTTTTCAAAATCATGTTTGGATGGCTGATAGCACCTCCCGAGTTTTTTCCTTCACCTTTTCTAAAAATCTCTATCCTTTCATGCCTGTCTGCATTCTCCGAAACAAAAAGAAGTCTCATGGAGCGAGGTCAGGTGAGTCAGGTGCGTAGGGGAAGAGAGGCATGATGTTTTGCCAAAAACTGGCACACTGAGATGGCTGCATGAGCAGGTGCTTTGTTGTGGCAAAAACAGTCCTCTGTCTGCCACAAATCAGGCCTTTTTTTGCCACACACTGTTGCACTATCTTTTCAGAACCTCTAAATAGAAAGCTTGATTAACAGTCTGACCTGGTGGAACAAACCCCAAATGTACTACAAGGGGACATTTTCATCCATTCAGAAAGTTGACAGATGTCCAGAACTAGGCTTGTCATCAGTAGACATTTCACCTTTTTTGAAATGAGAAAACCACTTGTTTACTTGAGTTTTTCCCTTAACGCTGTCCTTGTAAGCTGTGTTCAACATCACAACAGTTTCTGCGCATTTTTCTCAAGCAGGAAACAAAATGTCACAGCCTCATGCTGTTCTCTTAAATAATCCATCACACACACAAAAATGAGGTTGAAGCGGAAACTGCTTTTATGAAAAAATTAACTGTGACCCGAGAGAACCTTCCCAGGTGATGCCACTGTGTGCACTAACTCATTTTGAGTTGTTTGATGCTTGCCTAGCAGGAAAAATGCATACTATGAAAGCTCCTCTCTGCCCAGTGGAGCTTCCTCCCAGTTTTTCTTGGATACCCATACACACACACACACACACACACACACACATATGAGGACTTAGTGCTGATATAAACCTTGTAATCTCTTCTGGCTAACATAATACACATATCCCAATCATGGCCCTGTTTCCACTTCCGTAGTGCTACTTGTAGCTGTGCTGTAGTGATCTGCCACCAATCATGAATTTGTAACTGTTTCCTTTGTTCCATACCTTATTTAACTAGTGCCTTGACTGAATCCTCAGATGCCTTTATGACCTTGAGCTAATGGCCTCCCTCATCTGGATGATATGATGTGTCTGGGTCTTTGTGTCATCTTTGTCCCTTTAAGACTTGATAAATGTTCTCCTTGAATTATATTTGAGATTGTGGCCACTTTTATAGCCTAAAACAGTCAGCATTGACTTGATACCTGAACATTTGGTTTGATATCTACCTTCACAGGAGCCCTGGTGGCCCAGTGGTAAGTGCTTGGCTGCTAAGTGAGAAGTCAGTGGTCTAAGCCACGAGTCCCCCTCCACAGGAGAAAGAGTAACAGTTTGCTACTGTAAGAGTATAATCTTGGGAACCTGAGACAGTTCTACTCTGTCCTGTGTGGTGGCTGCTGTGAATTGGAATCCAGTGCAATGAGTTTGGAGTTTTGTTGTTGACATGTAGTCCTCGACTTATCACAGGGTTTGATTTCAATGACTCCATCGTCAACTGTAAGTCTCTGTAAGTCAAATGCCTCTGTTTGTTGGTTTTCATTATTCTTGCCCTTTACAGCTCTGATCATTACATGTGAACATCTGAGATTGATAACGTGACCAAATTGCACACTGCATTGTTGCTTGTAATACGCGTGACCAGTGATGTGTGGACTGCCTGTCTCTAGAAGCGAAGTGGGTGGGACTGTATCCTGAGTGCGGGCTGACGTGTTTTCTTTTATATCGATCCACAGACACTCATGGGATGGTGCCTAGTTCATAGTAAGCATTCGGTGAATGTGTATGGGGAGTCGATCTTGACTAGTCAAAGAAAGTACAAATATTATTACACTTCCAAAGTGTCTGCAGTTGAACACTTTCTATATATTGGTACCTAGAAAATTTACCACTGAGATGCAGTCCAGTCCATTGGCATGATACAAACCCACTGCTGTCAAGGCCGTTCTGACTCACAGTGAGCCTATAGGACAGCGTAGAACTGTCCCAGTGGGTTTTTGCAATTGTAAGTTTTTGTTTTTTTTTACTTATTCTTAATTCTTTATTTATTTATTTTTTCACTGTAAGCCTTTACAGGAATAAAAAGTCTCATCTTTTTCCCAAGATGAAGCTGATCATTTTGAACTGCTGAGTTGTTGGGTAGCTTCAAAAAGCTTGTGGTAAACCTCCAAGCTCTTTTCGTTCCATTTTGTCAAACACTCCTTGAAGCCTCCTCATAGTTCTTAAAGTTTATGTTCTCCCTCCCCGTAGGGGGAGCGGGTCTGGGGTCTTAAAGTTTATGTTCTCCCTCCCTGTAGGGAGAGCGGGTCTGGGGTCTTAACGCTTAGGAGCCGCCATCTAAGATATAACTGTTCATCTGGAACAAGAGGAAAAAAGGAAGCCCAAGAATTAGAGAAGGAACTAGACTACAGGACCCCTAAGGGCCCTGTGGTTAAAGCGCTTGACTGCAGGCTGCAAAGCAAAAGTTCAGTGGGTCAAAGCCAACAGCTGCTCCACAGGAGAAGGACATGCCATCTGCTTCTATCAAGACTAGGGCCGTGCACACCACTTGGGTCAGTTCTATTCTGTTCAGTGGGATTGCTGTAAGTCAGAATCAACTAGGTGTGTAGCAACCCTATTGGTCAACCACCCAAACCAAACCCACTGCCCTGGAGCCATTCCAACTCAGCAACCCTACAGGACAGAAGGGAAATGTGTCCTGGAGCAGACAGCCTCATCTTTCTCGGGAAGAGCGGCTAGCTGCAGGGTTTGGACCTCCCAGCCTCCACTTAGCTCAGCGCTAAACCTGCTGTACCACCAGGGCTCCTTAAAGTGTCATCAGCTGCTTTCAAACCTCAACGAGACAGTCAGGGCCAAGGAGATTAAATAAATGGAAGGGAAACAACTAGAACAGAAGTGATGAGACCTTGATACGATGTGAACAGTGTAGCCAGTGTCACTGACATCTCCAAAGCATGGCACGGGAGTGGATTTTGCTGTGTATGTTTTTCACAGTGAGTTAAATTTTAAAAAGAGCACTTTCTCCAATGATATATTTTTCTGTTTTCTATTGTGTTTTTGTGGAATAAACCCGTGTTCTCTTTCCATCCTCTCATGACGTAAGTCTTTAGCTCACACCATTGTATTCTTCAAGTCTCAACCAGGTCTTTTGTGTTTGATGGTCACTCCCCACAAAGAAAACAATCAATATTGCCCAGTACTAAAAAAAAAAAAAAAAAAAAAGCTCACTTTCATTGAACTCATTCTGACTTATCAAGACCCTATTAGACTGAGCAAGTCTCCATGGCTTACTGGATAAGATAAATATCAGAGCAGAAAGCCTCGTCTCTTTTTTTGTTTTGTTTTTGTTTAACAATTTTATCAGCACTTCATCCACATGTCATACAATTCAATAATTCCATCATCTCAAGAAGAGTTGTACAGTTGTCACCCAAAGCCTCATCTTTCACCCTCGGAGCAAGTGGTGGACTCGAGCTGCTGACTTTGTGGCTAGCAGCCCAGTGTGTAACCCACTAGGCCACCAGGTCGCCTTGACATAGCCCGTACAGTCTGTACTTCCTGTTCGTCTCACCCATTTTCTCTGTATCCTTGTTGGATACAGGGCTCGAAGCTGGAAATCCCCCTGTGGCTGGCCAAAGGACTTTTTGACCACAAGCGGCGGATCCTTTCGGTGGAGCTTCCCAAGGTCTATCAAGAGGCTTGGAGGACCGTGTTCAGTGCCGACGCCAATGTGGTGGACCTCCATAAGATGGGGCCGCATTTCTACGGGTTCGGCTCCCAGCTCTTGTATTTTGACAGCCCGGAGAATGCGGAGATTTCCCAGTCTCTCCTGCAGGCAAGTACCTAGTGTCAAAGCTGTGGCAGTGCACATGTCGCAGGGGCCGGATGCGGCCAGAGGACAGTGTCACTCTCACCCAGAGGACTGTATGATGCACACAACTGGCTGTTGTTATTCCAGTCAGCCCGAGTTAGACCGAGGGTGCCAGTTATATGCACGTATTAAAAATGACTTGTCTTTTCTTCCTCATTAAATAAGTTAATTAATGAACTTGCTAAGAGTTGAAACCAGGAGGAAAGGGGTGCTAGTGGATTATAGTGATAGGCACTTAGCTACACAACTATAGCCCTGTGCTTAAGCCCTGGTGGCATAGTGGGTTTCACATTGGGCTGCTAACTTCAAGGTCAGCAGTTCAAATCTACCAGTCACTCTGTAGAAGAACAATGAGGCTTTCTGCTCCCATTAGGATCTCAAAACTGAAAAAACCAAACTTGCTACCGTTGAATTGATTCCAACTCATAGTGATCCTATAAGACAAACTAGAAATGAGGACCTAATGTTGGGGGTTTAAATGGAGAGAAAATGTTTTGAGAAACGATGTACAAATGCGCTTTACACAATTGATGTGTGTATGGATTGGGATAACAGTTGTATGAGCCCCTAATAAAATGTTTAAAAAAAAAAAAAAAAAGACAAACTAGAACTGCTCCTGTGGTTTCCAAGACACTAAATGTTTACAAGAGTGGAAAGACTCTTCTTTCTCCCAAGGAGTGACTGATAGTTTCAAACTGCTGACCTTGTGGTTAGCAGCCCAATGCATAATCTACCACACCACCAGGACTCCTGTTGGAAATATTTACAGCCTTGGGATCCACAGGGGCAGTTCTACGCTTTCCTATAGGGTCACTGTGAGTCAGAATCATTTGGTAGCACCAAGTTTCGAGGGTGGTTTTTTGAGCCCAGTTCCAGAACTGCTGGGGGGCGGTGTTGGAAATACAGGAGTTAGTTGTGTGCATTATGTTGTTAGCTGCCATCGAGTGGGTCTCCAACTCCTGACAACCCCATGAGTTACCGAGTAGAACTGTTCTATAGGATTGTCGTGGCAGTGATCTTTATGGAAGCTATTCACGAGGCCTTTCTACCATGGAGTTGTCAGCTGGACTTGAACCTCTAACACTTGGTTAGCAGCCAATTACAAACCGCTTGTCTTACCTGCCTAAACTCCTTGTCGCTTTGGGGTTAAGACCTGGCTCTGCCACATATTAGCTATGTGACTTGGTCGAGCTATTCAATAGTTCCAGTAATCAATTCTTCACCAATGAAAATGAGCTAATAATAGTGCCCAAATTATAGAGTTATAAAAAAATTATGTAAGGCCATTTAATAACTAGTAACTATTATTGTTATTTTCCATGGCCAAAACAATAGTATGCTTTTATTAGCATCCTTTTCATGAGCCCTGGTGGTGTAGTGTTTACCTTAAAGTCAGCAGTTCAAAACTACCAGGTGTTCCAAGGGAGAAAGATGAGGCTTTCAGCTCCTGTAAAGATTTACAGCCCCAGAAACCCACAGGGACAGTTCTACTCTGTCCTATAGGGTCACTATGAGTAGAATTGGTTTGATGCCATTGAGACTACCTTTTTAACTTTTCACAGTGTACTGTTGTTGTTGTTGCTCAGTATTAGAATAAACCATCCTTTTTACCTCATGAGTCTTGGACTGCCCAAAGGTTCCCCTTTGGTAACTTTATAAGAGCATTTGCCTCAAGCCATATTTGCTTCCTGGATGATGCTGACCTCCCACATCAGGCTTAAGGACGGCTTGACCTAACAGCAGGTGTCGGTGCTGTTTGTAACATACGATAAACAGAGATGTGGTTGCTGGCCATTCAGAAAAAGAAGTCAATGCGTAGACTATAGCCAGCCAGCCACTTGTTAGGTCGTCTCCAGCTCCTGACAACTCCATGTGCTAGAACACCACTGTGCTCCCCGGGTTTTCAGGGACTGAGGTTTGGGGAGTAAATTTCCAGCCGTTTCTTTCGAGGAACCTCTCGGTGGACTCGAACCAGCAATCTTTCAGTTAGCAGCAGAGCATGTTAATGGCACCACCTAGGCCCCTCACATAGACTCCGGAAGCCGGGAAGAGCAGCAGGGCTGTTTGTGTCTGAGACTCTTTTCAGCAGCAAGACAGAAAGGAGGAAAGTTCACGTGTCTCAGGAAGTCACCCAGATGTGTTTGTCCTTTGAGGTCCTGCCTGCTGGCGTTTTCATGTGTCTCTCCCTGCTTCAGGGGCGCAGGTGCTTGCACGTATACTTGCATATACATCATCTGGCCTTGCCAGGAAACAGCTGGAGACACTAAAGCCGGGGCTCCTAGCTCTCCAGCAAAGCCGTCCCTTCGGTCCTTTGTGTCTCCATCCTGCTCTTTTACCCCCCAAAAGTAGAAATAGATCCTGTCACGCCAGAAATGTTTACTGGGGGGAAACTGCCTGTGGCCACGGACTAGCCTTTGTTACGAATACCAATGAGCGGTGGTGTTTTTCTGGGTAGCAGCCATTTGCTGGGCGCTGCACACATCTTCCTTCATGGATTTTTTAAAGGGCCCATTTCACAGTGGAGGAAATTAAGGCATGGCAATGGGAAATCATTTACTTGTGAGGCAGCAAGGACACTGAGGGGTAGAAACGAGCCTGGCTTTGTGGGGTGGTAGAGCGGCCCTGATTTCTCTTCCTCTCGTCCCCTTCAGACATTTATTGGACGTTTTCGCCGCATCATGGACTCCTCTCAGAATGCTTACAATGAAGACACGTCCGCCCTGGTAGCCAGGCTGGATGAGATGGAGAGGGGCTTATTCCAGACAGGCCAGAAGGGACTGAACAACTTCCAGTGCTGGGAGAAGGGGCAGTCTTCTCAGATCACGGCCTCCAGCCTCGTGCAGAACTACAAAAAGAGGAAATTCACCGACATGGAAGACTGATGGCCAGGAGGGCATGGAGTTACTCCGTGTAGACTGAGGGTGCCCCTGGACTTTCTGACCCTGTTGACCCCCCAGGCCCGACCTACGTAACCCAAGAGCCCTGCTGAAGAGAGAGCCGCGTCCTTCCTCTGAACAACGCTCTTTCAAACATACGACCCCTTGCTCTCGTGAGTCAGAACTGGGAGCCCTTGCACCTGGCAACTTGGACAGCCTCACAGGTCCACTTTCATTAGCCCCCCGACTGGACATCTTGGTATGTTCACAAAACAGTCCCCTGAGCTTCTTTGTCTCGTCCTCCAGGTAGTTGTAGGAAGGACAGAACCCTGGAGCTGCTGGCCTGACTTGTAACCGTCCCCTGCCACCTGCCAATGGGGAGTTAGAGCCCGATTTCCAAACACCATCCCCAGATTCCACGCTGCAATGTTGTATGTAAGACATGTGACTGATGGTTTGTGGATGGAAATAGCAACGGCGGGTGAATGGCCTGGCTTTTACCAAGGGGAGAGAGACAATGCTCTTGCTCTCATGTCCTCTGATGAGAGCTCCCATAGCGCTCCTGCCAACTTGGCGGGGCAGTGATTAAACGGAGCTTGTTTTTGTCTCTTGACATTTTGGGATCCTCTCTCCATTCGTTACTCCATTCCCTCCCTAGAAAAGCTGTCAGAAAGCCATGTAGAATTGCAAAGTAATTATTAAAGGGTGTTTACCAGCCATGATTACATCTGGAAATCGGGACTTTGGGCTTGCTGGTGATGAAGAGCCTTGTTTGAGAAGCTTTACAGGGCAAAGCTAAGAAAGCAAGAGACCATGGTGTGTGTGTGTGTGTGTGTGTGTGTGTGTGTGTG